GAGGGCCCCAAGGGGATCCCCAATAGCGCCTCCAGAAGCCACAACCATAAATGTTCGTATGGTTGTGGGAAGATTTTAACGTTCTCGCCTTTCTCGACTCTGACAAGCCAGTGACGGCCCAAGCAGCCTGCAGAATGGCCCCCAGAAGGCCTAAGAAGCCCCCGAGAGGGCCCCAAGACGGCCCCAGAGGCCCCCAAGACGGCCCAAAGAGGCCCCCAAGACGGTCCAAGAGGCCCCTTCGACGGCCCAGAAGGACCCCAAGAGAGCCCCAAGGCGGCCGCGGGATCCCCCCAGGACGATCTTCCAAGGGGCGACACAACGCAAAAGCGCCCTGTCGCGTGGAAGTTGGTCACGGCGGCGCCCATGAGTAGAGCCGGCGCTGGGAGGGAAGATGGGGCCGCCGCTTCCCTCATCGCCCTCCTCATCCTCCTCATCGTCGTCATCCTCATTCCTATCCCCGTCTTTTCCCTCCTGTTCTTCCTCATCGTCCTCATCGCCCCCTCAGCCCGCGGTTGGAACCTCGACGAGCGAGTCTCCACGTCCCCGCACCTTGGCGGAAATCCTCGCTACGATGGCCGAAGGCAGCACGTTCACGGTGCATTCTAACTGCGTGAGCGGTTCTAAGACACCTCCAAAGAGGCCCCCACCCAAGACACCTCCAAGAGGCCACAAGGAAGCTCCCAAAAGGCCCCGCAACAACTGGACTGTACGTGGTCCGGACGTGCACACCCGCGAAGCGAGAGGAATCCACGTCCGGAGGTGACGTGCTGAGCGGCAGCGTTTTTCGGCGAACGCCTTAATGCAACGTATCCAATGTATCCAAAGATTCCAGAATTGCAACATCTTGTATTGTGCTACATTATTATGTTTCCCCCCTAACCCCCCCTCTGGGAGCTGCGCCACACCGCCGGACCAAAATTCCCCCCCCTTCTGGGGCCCTAAAAACATACAAAAACACATGAAAAATCAACACATTCGAGCTCTTGGGCCTCTTGGGGCTCCAAGAGGGCCTCAAGATGGCCCTAAGACGGCCCAAGACGGCCCAAGATATTCCCAACGGGGGCCCATGAGGCCCCCAAGACGGCCCCAAGAGGGCCCCAAAAGCTCCAAGGACGGCCCAACAGGGCCCAAGAGCGCCCATAACTGCGCCTCCAGAGGCCGACATCTTTGATTGTCCTATGGTTTTTGCAATAGTTTAGCGTTCTCGTCTTTTTCGGCTTGCAAAAATCCATGACGCCCCAAGCAGCTTCCAGAATCGCCCAAGAACAACCCAAAAAAAACCCAACAGGGCCCCAAGACGGCCCAAGAGGGCCCCAAAACGACCCAAAGAGGCCCCCAAGACGGTCCAAGAGGTAGCGAAGACGGCCCAAGAGGACCACAAGAGGGCTCCAATGCGGCCGCGAGAGGCCCCCAAGACAGCCTCCGAGGGGGCGACACGGCGCAAAAGCGCCCCAAGACGGCCCAAGACGCCTCCAAGAGGCCCCAAGAGGCCCCCAACAAGCCTCCAAAAAGTCCCCCAGAGCTTCCAAAAGGCCTCCGACAAGCCCCCCAAAGGCCACACAGCGACTGGTGTGTAATGATATTTTCCCCCCTCTGGGCGAATTGCGGCGCAGCGCCAGCCAGGTGGAAGTTGGTCACTGCGGCGCCCATGATTGGAGCCGGCGATGGAAGGGATGATGGGGAGGGTGTATGAAAAGGAGGGAGGGGGGAAAGCCCCCAAAGAAACCCCCCAAAGGCCAAAAGAAACTCCCAGGAGGCCTCCAGGAGGCCCCCAAAAGGCTCCCAAAAGGCCCCGCGACGACGTGACTGTACGTGCTCCGGACGTGCACCCCGCGAAGCGAGAGGAATCTCTTCTAGAGGGACAAACCCAACTGAAGCCTGCCCTAGACTTGCTGCTCCGGCCTAACGAGCAGGCCGCGCGTCCCTTGGAGTCCAGGTGCTCCCCTGCCACTTTTCTGCGGACCTGGCCCGGGGCGCGTTCCGATCGGAAGCTCGAAGCAGACCATTCGGAAGCGACCCCGGTGGGCCTCCCAGGAGGCCCCCAGAAGTGGGGACGAGGGGAGAAGAGCGGCATCGGTGCCCTACACCTGATCCTTCCCTGCCTCCCGCGACCCCCTCCGGGGTGGCGCTGGGCAGTCGGTGAAGGTCGGTCCCGCTCCGCGCCGCCCTCCAGCGGGCAACGTCGCTCGCGCGACGCCAACGCGCCGCGACCCTCATGCTGCCGCGACGAGTGCCGAGTCCGAGACGATCTGCGCGTGATCGCGACATGGCAGGCACGTGCGGCCGCCCGATTTCGGCACGACGGCTGAGACGAGGTTGGCACGGGTCGGCTGCGGGCACAGGGGGGAATGCAGATAGGGTGGGCCTTCCCACAAGGCTCGGAAAGCATGGGGCCGTCGGAGAAATTGCCTGAGCCTTCCACGGAGAATGTCGGAGGGCTTCTGAAAAGTCCCGCCGCCTGCCCCGTCTCACTTTCCCCCCCCAGGCGCGCCGCTGAACTGAATGCGGTTGGACAAGTCGGGCGTGCCATGTCCGGACAACGCTTGGAAAGAGCTAGGAAAAACAAGACGTAGTCTAGAAACTGGCGGCTCGACATGACGCTGCTCGTCAGATCAGACCAAGGGCGCCCAAGATGTTCCGCATGAGAGCCCTCTAGGAACCGAGGGGCAGCAAATAGGACGTCCAGGGCCACACCAGAGCACCCCCTACAGACACATCCTACACAACAGCCTGTCATCAAAAATATCTGACCACACTCTGCGCCGATGTGTGGAAACACCAGAAATGTTGTAGAGCTTCTGAAGGCTCCCCCAAGGGCCATGGGGTGGAAGGACACTTGGGTGGTGCTAGCAGGCCATGTCTAGTTTGACGGCGTGCTTACCATGGAGCCCCAGCATGCCTGACCAGGCAAAAACAGAAAGGCGCGCAGAAAGGCGCGCATGTGTGAACGTTTTCTTATTCAGCGTCTCAACCGTGGGCGGAAAGGGGGGGGAGGGGGGAGGGGCTCTGGGCCTCTGCGCAATGCGACTGCTTGCGGCAGTGCGTCCTGTGGGGGAGACCCCACCTGCTCGAAACAGGCACAAACACCAACCAAGATCCACGGGGGGGGAGGGTGCGAGGGCCCGCGCCAATCGGCAAAGCAAGGAATAAGATAACTATCACATATGTGCTGCGCACGGCACGCCGCTTGGCGTGGCTCCGCTGTTCGGCGTCCAGGCAGCTCTGGCCGTCCTCCAGCACAGCGAGCGGGGCGTCGACGCTCAGGGGACGACGACAGCGCTGGCAACGCGCGCCCATTGGGGCCGCGACGCTCCGCTGGGAGCCCCGTCAGAAGAGTGGGGGCGAGCGGATACTTCGGCGGCAACTCATGGCACTCTTCACTATGTTACGCGCATGTGGTTCCTACACGGGCGGGCGTTCCTCCAAGACCGCCCCCGTGAGCACGGCCGCATCAATGCGGGAATACAAGTCGTACAGATGAACACAAACAAGGCACAATACAAACCGCGAGACGAATACGGCTTTCGGGGCAGCAGGTGGGGCGTATGGAGGCGGAGAGAAGCGGAGGAAAACAAGAACCAGGGTGGCGGCTATTGCGACTCGACGCTCATCGACGCTCAATCGACGCTAAATCGACGCTCATCGACGCTGGGCTAAATCGACGCTCATCGACGCTGGCCGACGCCGCATCGGCGCCATCTCATCGACTCCCAGACGCTGGTCGACGCTAGTCGACGGCTAGACCAGACTCCCATGACATGGTATAGAAGGATACCGAACCCCCGGGGGCCGTAAGCTTACAGGAGGATTTGAAAGACAAGTGAAAAAAACAATCCCAACCATACACCAAAAGTGACAAAACATACTTTAGAACCAATCGTCCCCAGACTTGTTTTCACTATTTTTGAATATTCCTCCTGTAGAGGGACAGGCCCGACTTCAGCTTAGCAAAACACGCTCCACGCGTGCCGAGCAGGGCCCCAGGACGGCGCCTGGCGCGCACAGGAGCGGGGGCGGCAGAAGACGGTCCCCAAAGCCAACACCCTCAAAGGCGGCAAGGACGCAGCCAAGATGCCACATCCACATCCACAGCTGCTGGAAAGCCATGCCGTAGATCCCTGGGGGGCATTGGATATGGATACGTTGCCGCCCGCAGGGTCGGGTACAGATCCAGGTCCACCACCATTTTGAGAGTTCTCCGAGAAATGTTCGGGCAGTGGTCGGGGGCGGCCAAGAGGGGGGCGTCCAAGAGGGGGGGGCGCAAATCATGGCCGGCGGCATGTGCGAGGCCCAGGGGGGGGGGTAGGGAGGTAATGGAATAAGAAGAGGCGCCATGAAATCTGAGGAAATATCATGGCCCACGCCATGATGTCCACCCCCCCCCTAGTCATCACCCCCTTCTTTGCCGCCCCCGAAGTGGGCCGACGGGACCCTCCGGATGAGGTTGAATGGGCCCCAAGGCCGCCACAGGGCCCGCGACGCCCAAACATGACAGGAACTGGTCCCCAATCGCTTGCTGTTCGGCTGGGGATCTTACGCACGCCCCTAGCATGACAAACATTTGGCTCAAGATTTGGCCACACAGGATCAACCATCAAGGCAAGGATGGTGACGACTCGCCAGAGGCGCCTTCGATACGAATCCCTATCATTACCTTCCTCCTCATCTTCCTCCTGGGTGAGAGTTGTGCGCCAGGATGATGGAGCCAAAGCCGCATAACAAATTTAAAAAGCACTGTGAGCCGACGAGCTACACGACACGCCGATATACACGTACTCTCCCTCTGTAACGCTCCAAGTCACAAGTGTACGCGACGAAGTCTTGCACTTTCACATGCGAATAGCACTTAGATGGACCTGAGCAACGAAGACAACAACAATCGTGGACCACATGCCTACAACATGATATAGAGAATGACGGCATTTTCAACGCTGCGTCGTGGCCAACTGCGTCGTGGCTGGTACTACTCCGAGACATACCCACGCTGGGCCGTGGCCAACTCAACTGACGCTCTGGAACTCCAGCTTGACCGGGTACACCTTAGGCCTCTGGTGCATGCTCCTGTCGACCTGGGATTCGGAGAGCACTAAGGATTCCATTCCGCATCGCCTCACTCTCCTGCCTCTTGGTGAGCTGCACCGTAGCATGGGACAATGATGCTCAAGACGCCTATGGGAGCACATGGGACACTGAGACGATAAGGCACGGGCTTACCAAAGAACTCTGACAACACCTCGCTTGATCCGCCCCCCCCCTTGGCAGGGACAGTTGGATTCGGAGCTCGGGTTCCTCTGCGAGAAGCACGTGCGACTTGGTGATTCCTGTAAGCAGACAAGCGAGCATGGAAGTCTAATATGCTTCTACATCTTGCAAGCTGATCGCCATGGAGGCCTGGTGTACAACGTCCCCCGTACATACAAGGTGAGACTTCCGAGGGCCGTTGCACACGGAGACACCATTGAACCTTATGCCTGGGAACACCACCTTGACGCGTTCAATTAGACCTAATTGGCGTCAGCTAGGGCAACAACGACCCTCAACGACAACATACTCGGAAGGAGCCCAGCCGACGCACAGACGTAGTCGGAGGCATTACATGTGGAGGCGCGGCTCATCGCGGCGTCTCGGCAGCATGCTGCCCGATTCCTCAAGATCTGAGCCTTCACGAACGCGACCCCACGGACGTGCGATCCTGTGCGTGCGGTTCGCGAGGTGCATTCGTGCAAGGCCGTCCTGTGTGCATCTGGCCGCGGTCGAGGATGCGAGGTGGAGATTTATCCATGTCCACCGCCTGGGAACCGACGTCCCGATGTCCTCAGCGGGCGGTGGATATGGATATATTCCGGCCCCCCGGGGGACCCAATATGTCCGTATCCACCGCCTGCCGAGGCTCCGAAAACTGACCCTCCGGGCGGTGGTCACGTAGAAATCCCCGCCTCGGAGGGGAGCCTCGCGACACGGTGCGGTCACCACGCCGCCTGGGGGGCCCCCCGACCTGACCACCGCCCACCGTGGAAGCCCTGGGCGGCGCGCCCCGGGAGGGGAGAGGCGAGCGGGGGCGGGCCTCCGCAGAGGGCGCTCCTCGGGGCCTCCCAGGAGCCCTCGGGGCCTCCTCCGAGGAGCCCTCGGTGGCCCGGGGAGAGGCGCCTCCGAGAATCGGCGGTGGACAAACCTCCCTTTGGCAAACCTCCCCTTGGTGAAAACGGCCTCGGACCGAAACCGACGGACCTGGACCCGCAAAAATGACGGCCGCGACGCCCTCTCGCGAACCGAAAACGGCCAATTCCTCAATCGACGTGCCAGGGCAGGAGGTCTCATCCACGATCCGAGAGGTGCGCCTCCGAGCAGCTCCTCTCGGAAGGCCCCCCGCTCCCAGCCTCCTGGGCAGGCCCCCCCCCCCCCCCTCCTCGCCTCCCCTGCCCGGCGCGCCCCACCGCTGCCCGAGGAGGCACGCAGAGAAGCCGTGCGGGAACCCTCCCGGGGAGCCTCGAGGCGCTCCACGGCGGGCCGGCGCGACCCGGCGAGCTGCGGAGCTCGGGCGCCCGATCTCTCAGGGGGCCACTCGGGCCTGAGGGCATCTCGGGCCCGGATGCATGAGAAATCGGGCGCGGCCAAGCCCTGAGATGCTGGCGCTGCAATTTTCTGACAACGGGCGTGTTCGCTCAATGTCTGGTCCTGGAACACTCACAGATCGATCCGGCCCGAAATTACGCTACCGAGGAACCCCACATACCTATTTGATTTCCCATGTGTACCATCGGTGCTTCTGCTGCTGCTCCTCCTTCTCCTCCTCGGTGTCCTCCTCCTGCTGCTGCTTCTGCTGCTGCTGCTTCTGCTGCTGCTGCTGCGTCTGCTGCTGCAGCTTCTGCTGCTGCTGCTGCTGCTGCTGCTGCTGCTGCTGCCGCTGCTGCTGCCCCACCTCCCCGTCCTCCTCCTCCTCCTCCTCCTCCTCCTCCTCCTCCTCCTCCTCCTCCTCCGACCTCCCAGCGCACCCCCTGTGGCGGCAAGGAAATGACACGCCTGCCACGCCCTGGGAGCCTGCAACGCATAGGGCCCCCACCCCCAGCGCACCCCCTCTGGTGTCGAGGAAGTGCCACACCTGCCACGCTTTGCGAGCCCGAAACGGATAGGGCCCCCACCCTCAGCGCACCCCCTCTGGTGTCGAGAAAATGCCACGCCTGCCACGCCCTGCGAGCCTGCAACGCATGGGCCCCCACCCCCAGCGCACCCCCTGTGGCGTCGAGGAAATGCCACGCCTGCCACGCCCTGCGAGCCTGCAACGCATAGGGCCCCCACCCCCAGCGCACCCCCTGTGGCGGTCGAGGAAATGCCACGCCTGCCACGCCCTGGGAGCCTGCAACGCATAGGGCCCCCACCCCCAGCGCACCCCCTGTGGTGTCGAGGAAATGCCACGCCTGCCACGCCCTGCGAGCCCGCAACGCATAGGGCCCAGCGCACCCCCAGCATAGGGCCCCCACCTCCTGGTGTCGAGGAAGTGCCACGCCTGCCACGCTTTGCGAGCCCGAAACGCATAGGGCCCCCACCCCCAGCGCACCCCCTCTGGTGTCGAGGAAGTGCCACGCCTGCCACGCTTTGCGAGCCCGAAACGCATAGGGCCCCCACCCCCAGCGCACCCCCTCTGGTGTCGAGGAAGTGCCACGCCTGCCACGCTTTGCGAGCCCGAAACGCATAGGGCCCCCACCCCCAGCGCACCCCCTCTGGTGTCGAGGAAGTGCCACACCTGCCACGCTTTGCGAGCCCGAAACGCATAGGGCCCCCACCCTCAGCGCACCCCCTTCTGGTGTCGAGGAAGTGCCACGCCTGCTATGCCCGGACGGCCGTCGTGCATAGCGGCCATATAGGGACGTGTCTCATGTGGGTTCCCACTATGTGGCGCACACGTCGTGGATGTGTGATGCAGTGAACACGCCAGGCGCGCACTAGCGTTGTATGGTGTGTGTGTGTGTGTTGTGTGCGAATGTGTGCATGCGTGCGGCTGTATGTAGACGCGTGTGTCATGTACTTGCCGTGCATGTGTTGAGCGCGGGTGAGGAGAGGAAGAAGAGGGAGGAGGGGAGGTGTGAGGAGACGCGGGTGCGCCGCGGCAGGGAAGAGAACCAGAACCCCACGAAACATGTGGGGAAAAAGACGCAGAAAGATGGGGTCCGAGGATCTGGCCGTGTTTTTTGTTGCGATGTTGCATATATTTTGCAACGGCGGAACTCAAGGAGAGGGGGGCGTCCAAGAGGGGGGGGGGGCGCAAATCATGGCCGGCGGCATGTGCGCGGCCCAGGGGGGGGACCAGGGACGTAACGAAATGGAAAGAGGCGCAATGAAATCAGAGGAAATATCACGGCCCACGCAATGATATCCAACTCCCCTTAGTCATCGCCCCTGTCTTTGCCGCTCCCGAAAAAACGAACCCGAGTTGGCCCTGACCCGAGTTACCCCTGATGGTTCGGGGCTCTGGACGCCCGAGATTTCCGGGCACATTTCTGAAATTCGGCGGCACCCCTGACGCAGATGGGCGGGGTCAGGGTCCAAAAACACAAAGGATTTGCCACATTCCTGAAATTCGGTGGCACCCCTGATGCAGATCGGCGGGGTCTGGGTCCAAAAACACAAGGGATGTGCCACATTTCTGAAATTCGACGGCACCTCTCATGCAAATCGGCGGGGGCAGGGTCCAAAACACACAAGGGATTTTCCACATTTCTGAAATCTGGTGGCACCCCCCATACAAATCGGCAGGGCCAGGGTCCAAAATCAAGGGAATGTGCAACATTTCTGAGATTCGGTGGCACCCCTTTCCCAGACCCGCAGTGCAGGGTCAATAAAAACAATAACATGTGTAACATTCCTGAAATTCGGTGGCACCCCTCACGCAGATCGGCGGGATCAGGGTCGAAACAAACAGGTCCCGACACTGCTTCACGGCGGCGCCCAGACTTTATGATTTAGCTTTTGCATCTCCCATTATCCGAGACAGGGGGCCGGCGGCATAGGGCGAAGCCCTTACGGATATATATATATATATATATATATATATATATATATACATATATATATATATAGATGCACAGCATCATACAATGGTTTAAACTATTATGGTATTAGAATTAATATTTATAATTTCATCTTATATTACACTGTTTTATATTCCACTATATTACATTATGTTATATTATATTATGCCAGACTACATCCTATTCTATTATAGTATAGTATAAGATTATAATAAACGGTATTAGAAATATATTCCATTGAATGATATGAAGGTATCTGATAGTCTACAATATCATATGCTATTATGATATACTAGACTATATTACATGCTAGAATAATGTATTAGTATGTGTTGTATCACATTATACTGTATTGTATTATAATACAAGTGGCACGTGTGTGCCCAGGCTCATACAAAAAACTGAAGGGGCGTTTGAAGCAGGAGTGAAATGCAACATCGAAGTCGCACTCGAGCGCAAGTGGGGTTGCCACACCTTGCGATGTGTGTGCCAGGACCCCCCAGGAAGCCTCAGGAGGCCCGACTTGGATACCAGAAGAGGCTCCAGGAGGCCCCAGGATTGTGAGTGTTGTGCGTGTGTGTGTGTGATGTATGCTTTGTGTGGTGCGTGCTTTTTGTGTGTTGTAGGTGTTGTGTGTGTTATGTTTGTCTAGCGTGTAATGTGTTGGGCGTGATTTGTGTCTCTGTGTGCATGTAGTTCTGAAGCCCCGGGAGGCCCCCGGAAGCCCCAGGCGGCCTCAGGAGGCCCCAGGAGACCCCAGGAGGTTTCAGGAGGCCCCAAGAGGCTCCAGGAGGCCGCAGGAGGCCCCAGGAGGTTTCAGGAGACCCCCAGGAGGCTCCGAGGCGGGGTCTGGGGTGCCAGAAGGTTCAGAAAGCCCCAGGAGGCCCCAGGAGGTTCCAGGAGGCCCCCAGGAGGCTCCGAGGCGGGGTCTGGGGCTCGATTTTGTAAGGATTTTTCAAGCGAAACCGCCATTCCCTGAGAATCGGGGTCACAATTATTGAAATTACAATATGTTTTTAAAGGTTGTATGTTAAAATGTTGAAATTCCCATGTGTTTTTGGACCCTGACGTCACGATCTGCGTGAGGGGTGCCACCGATTGTCAGAATTGCGAGGATGTCCCGAGCGAAACGCCCAGAAAAATCGCGGACGCGTGCGCATTAATCGCCTCTGAGCTCTGCTCCCTCGGAGAGGTGCGTATGAAAATATTATATGAGACTATACCCCAATATATTGTATTATACTATATCTTTTACGATTATATTAAATTTGATTATATTATAATATATTATAGTATATCATATCATATTGTATTATATTATATTAGAGCGCATTAAATTATATTGTATTGGATTATATTCTTACTGTTATTGTAGTGTATTACAGTATATGATATTCTACTATATTGTATCATAATATAGTTTATTCTAGTGTATTCTATCATAATATATTATAGCATAGCGTACTATATGGTATTATACTAGATTATATAAAAGTATAGTATATCGCATTACACTATAGTGTAGTGTAGTGGATTGTGTTGCATTGTCTATATTACATCCCATTATACTATATTATATCACATGACATACTATTACATTATATTGAATTATACGAGAATATATTATATCATATAGTACTATAAATACTATCTGTATATATACACGTTTTGTTGTTCTCTGACCACGGTGAGCCTCGGCCACGAATCGGCACCCTCTCCCGAACCCAACGCTCCCTGCCTGCGCGCCTTGCCCTCTGCCCCGCGCTGCAGCCTCGTCCCCCAGCTCCTGGGGGTGTGGCCGCGACGCCGCCCCCGCGCCCGCTGCCAGGAGTGCAGCACTGGCTGGCCGCCCTGGCCACTCCGCAGGCGGGCCCCGCCGCGGGAGCGCTTTTCCGCTGGTCCCCTGCCCCGCGGCCGCCCCCCCCCCTCTCCTCCCGCTCCTGCCTCCCGGCGACTCGCGATGCCGCCTCCCGGCTTGCGCGAGCGCGCGTGCGGGGGCTGCCTCCGCCGCGCTGCGAC